CATTTTTCAATAAGGATGTGCTGACACTACCATGTGTGCTGGCCACTGTGGTAGACATCAGGGGAGCACTAGTTGACCAAATGGACACAGTCCCTGTCACGGTGCAGCTCCAGTCAGGTGAGGGGTGTGAACAAGTCAATGAACCATCAAATCAGAGTGGCGTGTGCCCCGAGATGAGACAGTGGGGAACTTGGGGAGCGTCTGTTTTGAAGGCCACTGAGGCCAAGTCCTGAAGATGAGTTAGAGCGACACAGAGTAGGGACTTGGGAAATATTTGTTGAGTGATGACCGTTAAATTAATCAATGTGTAGCTGAAGGCAACAGGTTCACTGTCACTTGTACTGTTTAGCAGCGGTGGCTCTCCTCTGATAGAGACATGTTAGAAGTGACGATCCTGTGCACATGGTACTGACCACACTGCATGTAGCTGCGTGTGTGACCAGGCAGGGGCAGCAGGAGCCAGAGTGTGGAGGGGGTGAAGGAAGTGCCAGCTAAGGTGACTGTGGCGGCTGGAGGCCTTGGGGCCACCAGCCGGGATGGCCAGCGAGGGNTCATGCTAAGACATGACAAACCACCAGCTGAGGTCCCCGCACAGCAGGCATGGATTGGGTTCCTTCACTACGCTCTGTAGCTCTCTTGCCTAAGTCATGCCCAATAACTTTTGGCCAGAAACAATTATCATCAATCTCCCAGCCTATTCCCTAAAATGCACTGAGATACTGAGTTTTCCAAGTGTTTGCAAAGATACAGGTGAATATATAGACCTAGATAAGTACATATTTGTAAGATGAAAGATCACACCAGTAAGAAACAAGATACCATGTTAATCTCTCTATACAACAGTCACTGTTATGTAAGAAACTGAGATTTAAAAGAAGTCTTTCTTACTGGATTTATTCTGAACAAGCTGGTATTTACTGAAGGTGCTTTTTACATGTACTGGGTTGGTCACTGCTGTTAATTTATTTGTTCAAAGCCTGGAAAGAATTATACTTAGAGAATGCAAAGATTCAGGATAAATTCATCCACTAAGCAAATCCGTCATTCACACGGCAGAGCTATTACTGCACATATCCTACTTTGCTTAGACAATGACATTTAATCTAACCACAGACAGAGCCAATATGTATTTTATAAACTTTGGGGTGATTAGTGATTGATTGTCCCTGGCTTCTGGGTTACATAACATTCTCAGTTTTTAGGCTCCTTTCTATTGAAATCAGTAAATCTTAATAGCAAGCAAAGGGCTGCAGATTAGCTAATGTTTACCAGGGTATTCTTAGCAGCCTGGCACAGCAAGTGGATTACACGACTGCCACTTTCTGTTTAGTGATCCTGCATTCTTGTCCTGTCAACAGTCCATTCTCAGAAAATGGACTTTTTGTACACTTCCCAAACATTGATTGTATGCTTCTTCTGTAGGATCCCAAAGACAAACAGAACTCTTCCTGTTCTCAAGGAGCTCACAGTCTAACGGGGAAGTGAGCTAAGTAATCAGCAATCACAACATGGCACAGTTTGTATGATGCCAGGAGGAGCAACTTTTCTAAAAGATCCCCATGAGCTGGGGATCCACCCTCTGCAAAACACT